CAGAGTCAGCAAAAGAGCTACGTCGACTGACACTGATTAAACCTGGAGTTCCACGTCAGGGATATGGTTCTCCTGAAGGTGTCACCTTGGAAAGGTGTCATCCGATTCAGGAAGTGGGGTAAGTTGAGCCCCAGAACATTGGTCCTTTCAGGGTTGCAGCCCGAGTGGGCAAGGTGGCATATAGGCTGGATATGCCAGTCGAGCTTAGTCAGATCCATAGTACCTTTCATGTCTCCCAGCTACGGAAGTTCCTGGTAAATGACTATGCGGTCGAAGTTCCTGGTACCTTTAGAGGATATTCAGGTGGACGATAGTCTGAACTATATCGATCGACCAGTAACAACCCTCAACAGGAAGATGAAGAATCTGAGGAACAAGAAAGTCGAGTTGGTGAAGGTGCAGTGGCAGTACCGCAAGGGCTCAGAATGGACGTGGGAGCCGAAGTACAAGATGGGGGAGCACTACCACGAGCTATTCCCAAGCACAACAGACTTCGAGAACGAAGGCTAAAATAAGTGGGGGAGATTTGTAACACCCGGTTCCTGGTATATAATTCAAGTTGTGAATTATCCATTTTTGTACTTGGATTCGACTAGTTGGAGGCCCCAAACTCGTTGAGTAGGGATGGATTTGGATGCGAGTGGACGAGCCTACTCGACGGTTTGGGAGCCCTCAACTCGACGAGTAGAGCTATCCGAGTAAAACCCTAATTTTAAGGTTTGATACCCTATTTAAGGATCTTCACACCTTGCAGCCTTCCTCATCACCTCCCATAGTCCAGAAAAACCTAAATCGTGATCTCGAGCATTGTGAGTGTGTGTGTGAGTGAAAAGAGGTGATTTCTTGGTGTTTGCTTGAAGGAGGAAAAGCTAGAAGTACTTGGTTGAAGGAAAGAGCTTTGGATCCAGAAAAAGAACCCCATTTCCAGCTCATTTGAGGTATAAAGTCTATACCTTCTTCATTCATCTACTAGATACCTTCATGGAGCCATCTAGGGCTTTTAGGAGCCTATTTTGGAACCATTCATGGATGCAAGCATGTTTTGGGGTATTGACTTCAGATCTGGAACCTTTGAGGGACTCCATGGCATAAATATGTCAACTTTATGGCCATGGGAGTCCCATGCAACTTGTGAACCTCATGTTAGGGCCTTTTGACTAAATAACTCATGCATGAACGTAAAGTTTGTAACTTTATGTGTTATATCGGCCCTAGGAGGCCAGATCTATGTTTTGGATGCGTTAAGCTCTAATGAAATCGACTGGATAGATTGGGACTTAGGGGGGCTCGACGAGTTGTTCATATAACTCGGTGAGTTGGTTCGTGTTCCCTCAACCTTTTTTGGTATTGAGAAAACTCGTTGAGTCTGGAAGATAACTCAGCGAGTTGGACGTGTTTATGGACTTGAAGATCATAGAACTCGATGAGTTCAAGGATGAACTCAGCGAGTTGTGAGTGAAATGCCTCGACTTGTATGAATAGGAACTCAATGAGTTCATGGAAAAGTCGACGAGTAGGATCGAGACCTCAGAGTTTTATGGACCCAGGGAACTCGACGATTTGATGGACCAACTCGGTGAGTTGAGTCAACCAGAAAGTTGACTTGGACCAAAAGGTTGACTTTGACCCAAGCGTTGACCTTTAACCTTGACCATTGATCAGAGTTGATCCTTAAAGGGTTATGAGTGTGAAAAGGTAATTAAAGGATATTGTTATGTGTAGGAGTTTGAGAGGAGTTGATCCCAGCACCGAGGACAGTTCAGTTACATCACGACATTGAGTTGAGTTACCTTCCGGTAGAAGTGGGTCTAAGGCCACAATGTCGGCCGACTAGTAGGAGTTACAGTAGAGATGATTGTCTTTGTGATAATTATCTGTATGTCACTATCTTTTGCGTTATGTGCTATTATGTTATGTTGTTATGTGATAAGATATATGAGGGGTAGAATAGACCCCAATACCGGTCGATAGGGCTGAATGGGTATGCCAGCACCCAAATAGGCTAGACAGTATATGTTTATATGTTTATACACTAGGATGCTATGTGGTAGAGTAGGGGGTGGAATAGTCCCCGGTACGGTCGAAATGGCCGAAGGGGTAGGCCAGCACCCTGATAAGCTAGGCAAGTTACCTGTCGACAGGGCCGAAGGGGTAGGCCAACACCCTGATATGATAGGTAAGTTACCAGTTGACAGGGCCGAAGGGGTAGACCAGCACCCTAATATGCTAGGTAAGTTACCAGTTGAAAGATACCGAATGGGTAGCTAGTACCCGGTTATGTATGGTATGTGGTATGATGGGGGAACTCACTAAGCTTCGTGCTTACGGTTTAAAGTTTTTGTTCCAGGTCCTTCTTCTTCGATGGGAAAGGAGCCGACACGGTAGCAGCGTATCACACACACATGATTTTCCGCATATGAGATTTCTGGGTATTGTACTCTGATTTTATTACTATTTTATGATATGGTTTGAGACGTATGATCTATGGTTTTATGAAATGGAATAACTTGATAGTGTTTTCTATAAATTGTTTTATAAATTGCTATATCAAGAATAAAAAATTTTGTTTGGATTTTTGGGATGTTACACGCAAGGTGCGGTTTTTTGTCGTACTAAAATTGATGACTGCGGTTTTTTAATGGTTCGGTTTTGCGGTTTAGTTTAAATGGTACGGTTTCGATTTTAAACCAGCCATATTCATTGGTGCGGTTTCTGTTGTAGTGGGTCGAGATTTTTGTAACTCTGCAAATCCACTTCTTGCCTTGGTGTCATTTTTTGAAAATAATTCAACTAATTTTTAACTAAATAGCCAATAGCCAACATATGGACAAAAAAAATAAAAAACAACGTTTTTTTAAACAATCATTTATGATTTTATGCCATATCCTTTTCTAAACAAGTTCCTTTTTATATATACAAATACAAAAGCATTGATAAATAAACAGATTAAATAAGTTTTATAGAAGAAAAAAAAACAATTTATGTCATACAAAATGATAAAACCTATTTATGTATAAAAAAAACTAACAGTGACCTCCATCAAAATTATGCTGTGTGGTTCCACAAACACAATTAAACACACATTTATCTCGTCTAAGTCTAACACAAGAACACGAAGTTAATAAACTGTAATTAAATTAATAAATTGTAAATATTTATCAATGCATATCTATCCTTTTTAATAAATGAAAGTTTTTTTACCACTTGTCAAATTCTCAAAAGTTTTGCCACATGTAATTTTGTGGAAGTTTTAGAATTATTATTTTCCATTTGTCATTTTTTGAGAATTTTCATTTTTTAAAATAAAATTCCATAAAATTCTAACAAGTTTTATAAGGAAATAAAATCATTCTATTAATTTGATAATAAATGATCATAAATGTTTTAAAGAATATTTGATTTCTTTTATAAATGTTCCAAAAGATTACATTATATCATATAAAAGTGTTATTTTATAAAATATTTAATGTTTAAATTTTTATACTAAATTTTTATTTTTAATAAACCCGTGTAATGCACGGGTCTCACACCTAGTATATAAATATTTATTACTCTTTTAGATAATATGCGATATATGATTATGTATATAATATAAATTAGTAATTTATTATTTATGCACCAGTTCGTTTTTGGTGACCAGGTATTTTTTTATAAAAACCGTACCAGATTGATAACTTGGGTTTTTGCAAAAATTAAAACTTTTGTATCAGTTTCGTTTGTTCGGTTGCTGTTTTTTGTTTGTTGGTTCGGTTTCTACTCATTTTTAACGTTTTGTAGTGAATGATGATAAATAAATCACGAAAAATATAAATTAATTAATTAATTAATTAAATACTTAAAAGTTCCATTTCTACTAAAACAACCATTTGGAGGATATATATATATATGCATAGAAATCAAGACTTGTAGTGGGTCGAATATATATATATATGCATAGAAATCAAAACTTGTAGTGGGTCGAGATTTTTGTAAATCTGCAAATCCACTTCTTGCCTTGGTGCCATTTTTTGAAAATAATTCAACTAATTTTTAACTAAATAGCCAATAGCCAACATATGGACAAAAAAAATAAAAAACAACGTTTTCTTAAACAATCATTTATGATTTTATGCCATATCCTTTTCTAAACAAGTTCCTTTTTATATATACAAATACAAAAGCATTGATAAATAAACAGATTAAATAAGTTTTATAGAAGAAAAAAAAAACAATTTATGTCATACAAAATGATAAAACCTATTTATGTATAAAAAAAACTAACAGTGACCTCCATCAAAATTATACTGTGTGGTTCCACAAACACAATTAAACACACATTTATCCCGTCTAAGTCTAACACAAGAACACGAAGTTAATAAACTGTAATTAAATTAATAAACTCTAAATATTTATCAATGCATATCTATATATAAATATTTATTACTCTTTTAGATAATATGCAATATATGATTATGTATATGATATAAATTAGTGATTTATTATTTATGCACCAGTTCGTTTTTGGTGGCCCGGTTTTTTTTATAAAAACCGCACCAGACTGATAACTTCGGTTTTTGCAAAAATTAAAACTTTTGTATCGGTTTCGTTTGTTCGGTTGCGGTTTTTTGTTCGCTGGTTCGGTTTCTACTCATTTTTAACGTTTTATAGTGAATGATGATAAATAAATCACGAAAAATATAAATAAACAAATAAATTGATTAAAGACATAAAAGTTCCATTTCTACTAATTAAAACAACCATTTGGAGGATATATGCATAGAAATCAAGACTTTTAATCAATCAACAAGATTTGAAAGCAAAGCATATGAAAGTGCCACAGCAAGAATCCTGTTGTTTCGAGAAGAACGTTGTGCCTCATCATCTACCACTATCAGATGCCCCTCCCTTCTCACTAAACTCTGCATCAATATATACCCAAACAAACATTCTTTTCAGATTTTTTTTATGATGAACTAGAACTAACTACAACACTGTAGTTTTTAGAAAGGATTTCATTACCTCTATGATAGCTTTAATCTTGGTGACTTCGGCCTTTGCCTCTTCCATGGAGCTCTAGTTGTTCTTCTCATTCTGTTGACCCACATAACACTGCATAGTAATTAGTGATACATGTTTGCAGGCTATTATGATTGTCATCTCTACAACAATCAATAAACAAAACATAACATACCTGATTACTGAAGCTTTTAGAAGTCTTGTTGCTAATTTAACATGGCGAGGATGAACCTGAAATTAAAAAGGTGTTTGTTTGTTTGTTATGCAAAGACCAAGATATGTAAAAAAAAATTGTTTACCTCATCATCGAGGTGACACCTGGCAATTGCCTCTGAAAGTCTGATTAGAGCCTCCAACTGTCTAAGTGTCATGTGATATGCAACTCTACTTCCTGGAGCTGTATCACCTCTACGAAGAGCAACATAAGAATCAACCAAAAATTTTCTTGCTGCTACACTTAGTTGCATTAATAAAATTCACAACATTTTATTTTTTCAAAGAGAGAGAGAGAGAGAGAGAGAGAGAGAGAGAGAGAGAGAGAGAGAGAGAGATCTTTGGCTTTTTAGACTTGGCAACTTGAATGTAACGCTTGAGTTGTTCAGTGGTGAAGGCAGGAGCAACATCATTTTCACGATTTTGATGAACCCTCACAATGTGAGAGGCGATATGGAAATCTGTTGTGTCATCAGGATCATTAATCATCACATACACCAGGTCAAACCTTGAAAGAATGGCTGGAGGAAGCGCAACATTATAATGCAACATTATTAATTCAAATTAATAATTCCATATACAGATTCTACCATTATAATTGGACAAAAAAAATATTAGTAAATTTCTGACCGTTTAGATTTATCATAGCGGCCTCCTGTGGGATTGCTGGCAGCAGCCAAAATTAATGTTCTTGCGTTCAATGTTGCTTGTATTCCTGCTTTTGTGAATAACTTACCAAGAGTGTGAAAACTTGATGAAAACCTCTTGAAAACACACACCAAGTCACGAAAATGGCAAGGGGAATGAGGGAATTTTTCTTGAGCTTGAGAGGAATTATGAGAGAGTTTGAAAGTGGAAGTGTGTGTGTTTGTGGGTGCTCTCGGCCGAGGGTAATAAGAGAAGAGAGAGAGAGAGAGAGAGAGAGAGAGAGAGAGAGAGAGAGAGAGAGAGAGAGAGAGAGAATGTTGAGGTGATGTTGCATGGGTGCATGAGATGTGTCTTGATATTTGGTGTATTATAGCATGGAAGTCCACCATGCAACAACGAGGTGGCACTATTGCGCCGGGAATGGACTAGGAAAAAGAAAATGAGACATTTTGGGTCATTCCTTCACTTAGTTTGAAATCATGAGGCCCAAAACAAATATTTTTCGACCTATTGGGCCTTTATGAAGGTTCACGACCCAATGGAGCCCAACTAAAAGGGTTTACGACCCAATGGGGCTAATGGAATCATTTATTCCTCATCTTGGCCCATTTGAGTTAAGGTGCATTATCCTACGCCCACATGGCCTAAATACTAAAGTTTCATGAATGTGAGTCCAATTAAAGCCCAATTAGGGTTCCTAGGCCCAAAATAGTCAAATTGAAAGTTTATTGGTCCATTAGGCCCGATAAGATAATATTAGTTCGTCTTAAACTTGAACCGGGACTTTTAGGGTTTTCCACCCTTAGTTGACTATATGTGATGCTTTATATAAGGTTTTGAACTTTACATGTGAACCTTGATCAAATTTATTGTCATTGAATGGGCATAGTGCATAATGTCAAATTCGGGTTACAAGTATCACAACGGATGATGTTTACATGAGTACAGAATTTCCTAGCAGAATGCTAGTTGTGACATTTGATGATTCAACCATGTTAGTTTGACCAGAAGTTACTCTAACAAAATTTTCACCATTGTTTCCATTGTTCCTTCCATTGCTTCCTCCTCCATTTCCTCTTTGACCCGTTTTGAATCTACAATCTCGAGCCTTGTGTCCAGTTCTGACACAAACATAACATGGACTCAAATTCTTCTTGTTTTGGACATGATTTTTGCCATATTTGGAAGAGTTTTTGGAGCCATTCTTGCCTTTATTGTTGTTATGCTTTGTCTTGGGAGCTGCTTGTCCAAAAACGTTTGCACTTGGTTCCAAGGAGTTTGCGTTTGCCTTCTCATTCAATATGTTATCTTCTTCAACATGAATTCTCAACACGAGTTGCTCAAAACTCATATCAACAGTCAACTGTTTAAGATACAATTTAAAATTCCTCCAAGAAAGCGGAAGTTTTTCAATTATTGCACCAATAAGAACGTTAGATTTTATTCTCATAGCTTCAACTTCAAGATCATGTGCAATTACTTGAAATTCCTTCACTTGTTTAAGGATAGGTTTGGTATGCACCATTTTGAAATTCACGAACTTTCCAATCACGAATCTCTTGGAACATGCCACTTCTATTTTGTATTTATTTTCCAATTATTCCCACATATCTCTTGCAGTAGTCATGGTAGAGTAGATATCATAGATGGAATAATCCAAGGCATTCAGAATAAATTTTTTGCAATTATATTCATTTGTGTTCTAGGATTCCACGACCCTTTCATGTTTAGCTAATTAGTTTGCAGTGAGTGGATTTGTTCCTTCTATAGTAGTTGCATCAGTGGGATGGGATAGAAAATCATCAGTGAGAACATTGGAAACATAAAGAGTTGTTAGATAAAACATCTTCTATTTCCATATCCGAAAATCTAAGCCTTTGAATTTCTCATGCTTTTCCATAAGTGATTTGATGAAGGAGTTATATATATTCTGCAGCTTTTGATTTCTATCCTGGATTGTTATGACAGAAGTATACAATCAACAAAACAATCAAAACAATACAAGGTTTAATTGAATGTAATATATAAGAATCAGATTACAGAAAACATACTTGAATATTGATAACGAAGAAAATACAATCATAAAAATGTATAGATTGAGGTCTGCTTTAGCAATATCCTAAGACAGAAATTGCCCCGGTATGGGTCTGTCTTAAGGATACTACAATCAATTCAAGAACAAACCTTAAATATGTTGAAAATCACCATGATCCTTTGTGATTTGAAGAAGGGATTTTTTCGAGAAAGTGTGTGTTTCATTAGCCTTCAAATTCTGTCTGATTCCATGTATTTATACATTTTTAATAGTAGGTGTAAACCACCACCCGAAATTAACTGCTAAAAACTATCAACCAGTTAAGTCTCTAATTAACAAAATTTGACTCAATAAAAATTAATTAAATAAAATTAATTTCGGATTTATAATAATAAAAATATACTAATTATACAAGAAGACCCCAAGGCCTAAGGCCATATCTTTGATAATTAATATATAATAAATCCAAGCCTTTTACAAGCCTGTTTTTTACTAGTCCAACACCACAACCCAAACCTAAGACACTTGACCCATTAGTTGGTTCATTTGATCAAATGAGTAGGAAAAGACTTATAAGATGGGAAAAAGTTTTCTCTTCCTCCAATGTAAGACAAGTACCACATTATATTTTTGTAGAACAAAGTTCCAACACAAGTTAGATTCCAAGTAAGCCTTCGTCCCCCAAATCTCCTTCATAATCCTTTGTCTCCCAAAAATTGATGAATTATGAAGGTAATTACATCCCAAAACTGATGAAATTGTACACATCAACCCTTTTCTTTTTCTCTATTCCTAACCATCAAGAACAACAAAAGCATTTTATCTATAATTGATTGATGTCACCAAGTAAGACTTTGTCCCCCATTTATCTGCATCATTCAGTTACATGATATTGATTTCAAAAGTGGAATCTTGTGTCTATGTTTGTGTAACACCCGTGTTTCTAGGCTAGGCATTAATGTTGATGTTATAGTCTAGGTTAACCTTTGTAACCCGTTTTGAAATAATAAAAATGTATTATTTAAGTATTATGTGTTTTATGCTTAATTATGTGACTTAAATGAATTAAGGATAAAAATAAGCGATAAAATAAAATATTAGATAAACCCATTATCTATGAAAGAAGTTGTAGTGGTCGTGACTAAGATTCCGAAAAATATAAAGAATGCCGAAATCCAAGTTATAACGAATAAGTTATGACCTGTCGAAGTTTTGCGATAGAACCGGTACGACACTTTGTGACGTAAATAGTGAATTTACGAGAGATCGATATTTATCCTTAATGATCTAAACGAAAGTTGTAGAATACGTTAAACCGAGAGCGTACTTAAAAAGAGCGTCAAAATCTGACTTCGTATGAGGAAGTTATGATTTTTATAAGTTTCAACATAGCAGTATACAACCCAAAGTTCGAATATGATATTGAGTGAATTCTAGCCAAAACAATCTAAACGAGAATCGAAGACCTCATCGATAGTAGTCCAACGGTAAAAAGACAAACAAAAACAGACGTCGGATGAAGGAGTTATGAATTTCTAACAGAGTTTTCCTGTCCCGGCCTACTAAAAACAATATAATAAAAATAAAGTCAAAATTAGCATACGGAGTCTAAATGAGAGTTGTAGAGCATAATATCACCTACACGTGGATAAAAAGAACATCAAAAACGGAGCTCATATGCGATATATATGAATTTATGAAGTTCGGATCACAAACATCTAGGCATGTGTCAGAGTTCACAATGTGAACATAGTGTTCACGATGTGAACAGGTGATGGACGCATTCCAGACCAAGTGGCCTGATGACGAACGCAATGACCTATGCCTGACCAAACTCACGACGTGAATTTTTAAGATCCACGACATGAATCCAGAAAATCAGCCCTATAAATAGAAATCAAATGGCAGCCGATTTTGGATGCTACTTTCTTACTCTCTCACTCCCGATGCCCTCTCTAGCCCTCTTGAAGCACCCCCGAAGCCCCGGTATCATCCTGACACCCAAAGCTCCGAAGATCCCGAGAAGAAAAGAGTTTTAATCCGAAGCTCTGCCCATGAGAAGCCCGGTATGTGAAGATATCCTGGTTTCATTGAAGCATACTACTCGAAGAGTCGTAGTGTTGTCCGATAATCGTCTTATCAAGTGAGTGCATAGTCTTTTTCATAAACACTATTTTAATACAAGTATTGTTTGAATGTATTAAGTATACGTTTTGAGTGAGTGTGTAGTTGCTTTCTTCTACCACATAGATATGAATTGTCCTCTATAAAATATGTGCTATGTGTTTATATATTATTTGTTATTTGGAATGAGTATTGAATGGGTATATATATATATATATATATATATATATATATATATATATTATCTACAAAACTGTTGGGTATAACATGGGTAGATAGTTGATGTGTGATGAAATAAAATGATGAGAGGCCTCAATGTTGGTGTCAATCTAGTCATCTAGCAGAGTATGGATGATGACCACAGACTTTTTCTAGACTGTCCAGTGGAACGCTAGCAGGTTCATAACTTGTAGGTGTTGTGAACGGTGTGTTCACCAGTGTACTCTATCCCCCTCATGGTTGCCTTTAGGACATCTATTGTTGAGGAAACCCATTTGCAGTAATGTCCATCCCGATGAAAATCCTTTGACTAGGTCCCTTGTGATAGTTGTTGCTTTAGGGACGTAAAGTGAGGATAACAGGAATGTGTAATCGGGTTATTATTGGTTGGTAAAATTAAATATAATTATTTATTGTGGGTTGAAAACCCTATATGCTCATCAGGCTCCCAAACCTGACCCACTCAGTTTCTTTGAATTGTAGGTAGTGGCGCAAGAGCATAAGTTGGACAACTTGTGAAGATATTTTGTTTATAGGCCAGTAGTTGTAAATAACTGTTGTAAGGTCTATGATGTACTATTTATGCTTTGGGTCTGTATCAGAACATGACATGCCGAGTTTTGTTATATATGAAAAACATTTCTATAATAAATGCTTTGATAAACTTTATTTTGTCATATTGTGTTTTGAGAACAAATTCCACAACACTTTTAATCAAATGATTACTCTGAAATTATTTTAAAAACATAAATTAAGTCGTTCTTTTCTAGCCGTGAATTTGGGGATGTCACAGTTTGATTCTCTCCATGATGCTCTCTTCTAAACGAAACACAGAGTAATTTTACGGGTCGAACCAGAGCTTGGAAAAAACTCCACAAATTTGTATCATCTTCTCCACACTGCTCAGACACATGATGAACACACCCAACACAAGATATGATTTTTTTTTCTCTATTTCATGAAAAACAATCGTGCTTTTAGTGTGCATGACGAGGAGAAGGGGGAAGAAATATAGAGCTTTGAACACCACACTTTCTAATCAATTATGAAGGGGTATGGGGCTGCGATTCTACAAAACCACATACACTGTTTTTTCTAAAACAACCATATGATTTGTTAATTTTTATTAATTGGATTGCTCAAATTTAGAAACACTCACACATGAAAATAGAAAGAAACATAGAGACCCAGTTATGCTCATGTTACTCATCATTTTATTTATTTCATACATGCTTGAAGGAGAAAGAAACATAAACCCATTCTTGTTCTTCATTTATTTTTGTTGTGGAGGAACATGTGCATCGATTCAAGATTTGTTTATGCACTTGGTTTTTTCTCTGTTTCACGAAATTGATGAAATTTTGAAGGTAAATTCCATCTCCAAACTAAAGAACTGGTGGCATCAATTTTATATTGAAGATTGGAGTTGAACTACAGGGTTGGCCTATTACGGAAGATGATGATGATGATGATGGTATGTATGTGTGTGTTTTGGTAAGGGGGTTAAAAAAGTTTTTGTACACCTCTCTTTTTCACATTTCTTTTACTAAGATTTGTGCGAAGGAGGATAAAGCAAAGTCGCCTATTTTTTTTTGCCACTAGCTGTGACAACCCGAAATTTCCATTCTGTACAAACTATATCACTTCAATAGAAGTTATAGCAGTCACAGTTAATTTTCAGACTTTTCGCGTAAGTTTGAGTAATTCAGGGTTTACACTTTAGGAAATATCAGGAGAGTGGGTGCACTAGGGTTTTGTGCAACACTGTTATTCCAACACTCTATTTTATTAGAGATCATTTCAGGAATAAAAATACTTTCTGCCAAAAATATCTCAGGAATATAAATAGAATTCTGAACCAAATTCATTCATTATTCACATTTCCAACTAGAGAAAAGCCATTTTCTCTCTCACGGATCTTCGGGTTTTTATACCAAAACATGAGTAACTCTTTATAGTAATGTTAGAAAGCTTTATATGTGTACATAACATGATTTAGAAGGCTAAATCACTAGATTTAGGAGTTTACTCCCCAAGGTGTTCTTGGGCGGTAAACTCCCGAAACCGAGCCTAGATTGACCATTGTGTTATGCAACTGCCCTAGACTCATTTGTATATGTATTTAGGACAAGAAAACAATCAAGAAA